AAGGATAGCGAAGGTACAGTTAATTACCATGTTTCTCTATTATTAGATAGGATTAGAGGCCCAGTGCACAAATTCATGCAAAACAATCGGGGCAGATCGGGGGTGGGCCTGTCAGGAGGAGGAGATGGCAGGAGGTTGGCCGGCCCTGCCCCTGATGGGGTGGGGGGGGCAATCAGGGGCAGAGCCAGCTGGGGAGAGGGGCTGCAGGAGGTTGGCTGGCCAGCCCCGCCCCCTATTGGGTGGGGGTAGGGTCAGGGGTGGGGCCAGGTGGGGGATGGGCTGAGGGCCAATTGGGGTGGGGCAGGCCCATTGGGGTCAGGGCCAGCTGGGGGGAAGGGCCGAGGGTTGTTTGGCTGGCTGCCCCGCCCTCAAGCAGGGTGGGAGAGGCCAATCAGGGGCAGGATGGCTGGGGGGAAGGGCCAAGGGAGGTTGGCCAGCCAGCCCCAGCTCCCCACCCCATTGGGCCAGTTAGTTGACCACAGTGGGTGTCATAGTGACTGGTCGTTCTGGTCATTAAGGCATTTGAGTCGCTGGCTTTTATATATATAGATAGATTTTTTTAATGATAAAAATTTTAAAGGCAGCTTCATGAAAGGAAAATTATATGGATTCATATTTCAATGTTCATAGTTTTATTGAAACACAGCCACATTCGTCTGTTTACTGTCTACAGTTGCATTTGTGCTATAACCACAGGTTGAGTACTGTAGTTGCCACCTATGGCCTGCAAAGCCTAAAATATTCACTATTTAGCCTGGGCCAGTATGGCTAATTAGTTAAAGCATAGACCCGAGTGCTAAAGGGTTGAGGGTACAATTCCCAGTCAAGGGCATGTACCTGAGTTGCAGGTTCTCTCCCAGCTCTCAGCCCCCACCTCCCCACCACACACACACACACACACCAGCAGGAAGAGTGTGGGAGGCAACCAATATGTGTCTCTCTCACATCAATGCTTCTTTCTCTTTTCCCATTTCTCCCTTCCTCCCTCCCTGCTTTCCACTCACTCTCATTCTCTCTCTGAAAAGCAATGGAAAATATATCCTTGGGTGAGGATTAACAAAACAAAAAATCACTATCTGGCCCTTTATGAAAAAGATTTGCCAAACCCTGGTCTAGTGGGCCAGAGAGGGGCCCTTACAGGGGTCTCAAACTCTCCTGCTGCTTTCATTTCCTGTTAATCAAGCTGCTTAGATCTTTTTTTTTCTACCTACCACAACCTGCTATAGTAGGATGCAGGCTGGCTGAAGACTAACATGTCCCACGTGCTTCTAAATGCCATGCAGTTTCAACATCCAGGTATGCTAATGATTACATTATAAATTGGACCTTTCACTACCTACATCTTTGTCATTAATCCAAATTATTTGATCAGTCAATAAAATGATATACAATTGTGTATAAATGTGTAATGATTAAATTCCTCAACAAAGCCGAAACCAGTTTGGCTCAGTGGATAGAGCGTCGGCCTGCGGACTGAAGGGTCCCAGGTTCAATTCCGGGCAAGGGCATGTACCTGGGTTGCGGGCTCATTTCCCAGTGGGAGATGTGCGGGAGGCAGCTGATCGATGTTTCTCGCTCATCAGTGTTTCTAGCTCTCTATCTCTCTCCCTTCCTCTCTGTAAAAAATCAATAAAACATATTAAAAAAATAAAAATAAATAAATTCCTCAACAAAAAGTAAAATTATTCAAACATTTAATCACTGAAAACACATAAGCACATTAGGAAATTATATTTTAGGATACTTGTCCCATACAAAATTTAACACAAAGTTATAGACTTTGATAAACAATATACACATTTATTATTCTTTCTCCTTTACTAATTTTTCTATCCTTGGAATCAAAGATGTGACTGCAAGTCTTAGGGCAGGGCCAGAAACCAACAGATTTCTTTGTTTTGACTCAGTCAAAGCTGAAAATGTAGCATCACATAAGTAAATAGTTGAAAAAGGCAATAAAAATTTCATTGCCCTTTCATGGAGTTCTGGGTAACTTGTCTTTGCTTTTATCCAAAACTGAGTTACAGACATTGATTTAAATACTGATTTTAATTCTAAATCTGAAGATAACTGTGCTAGTTTTTCTTCTTCGAAGTCCTTGAGATTACTATTTCGGTGATACATAAAAGGATTAATTATCCACCAATTTCCCAGACGCAAGTCTTCTTCTGGTGGATAACAGTCACTGAACATTTGAGAAAGTCCTTCCAGGTGCTCAAAAACAGTGCTTGAAATGCTTCTCATATTTAAGCTGGATGAGTTTGAGAATTCGGAAAATGAAGGAAACATGTCATAATCATTCTCTTGTGTGCGCTTCAACCACATTTTTAACTTTTCTTTAAGTACATCCATTTTATTATACAAATTGAAGAGCGTAGTCATACTTCCTTGGAGACTTAAACTTAGTTCATTTATAAGTGAAAAAATATCTGATAAATAGGCCAGCCTTGCCACCCATTCCTCATCAAGAAAATACTTGGCCAAATCAGAATGCTGCTGATTTAAAAAAATTTCAATTTCATGTCGTAATTCAAATAATCTTG